TTAAGTTCCAAAAACTGGATGAATTTAATCCATTAAAACTTTTTTTTTTCAAATTTAATGTAAATGATAAGAAGTTATACTTAATATTAACTTATATTCTTAAAGATGAAAAAGCCTTAAATTAATGAAAAACAACGAAGAGATTCCCTTATTTTAAAAATGGCATTTATGTTCTAAAGAAGGTAAAAGCTCAAATTACAGATAAAGAAAAACCCTGTTAATTATCCTATTGTTTTGTGTGAAGCTTTTACATTTACATTTATATTTACATGCTGTATATAAGTGACATTTAGGGAAACTGATTATTGATTCTGACCTGTGTATTTGATGGGTATCTGCTGTCAGACACAGTGCTGATATCCAGCTGAGCAGAACAGACCGTGGACTCATCAAAATTGCACAGATGGACTACCAACTCCTCTGTAGAGCTACATAAACCAGACACAGATTTATATACACAAACAGAAAATAACATTTATGTCAATTTATCTCAATATCGCATATAAATTGGCATTTGCAAAAAAAATCTATAGTGTCATTCCAACATTAGCAGATAAAAAGGGAATAGATTAAGCTTAAATATAAATAATAATAACAATAATAACAAGAATAATAATATTAATAATACATGTTTTAATAGCATGTGTGAGTATATTAGGATACTTACTTCATGAGCAGGGTTACTTTCATGTTGACAGGAACAAACTCACTGACAGGAACTCTGAAGATGTATCGACTGGGGCTTAAAGGAAACAACAGAAGTATAACATTATTTATTTTTACTACATATTTAATTAATAGCACAAGGTAGCATATATCATTACTGAGGACCTGCCAAAATTTAATAGAGATTTTACTGGCATTTAAGATTAAAGGTCTTTTTGACTTTGACATTGACATCCACTCCACATGCACATGCACAGTCAAGTATTACTGCAACCTGTTTTCTTAAAATATCATTTAAGTTTATATGATTTACATAAATGTAAATCACGCAGAACTTTACTGTCTCAAGTTTAAATCTCTCTTACAACAAACTACCTTTTCACAGTCCTCTCACTCTTTTTACACAAGTGTCTCCTTGCTAAAGATCTAAGAAGGATGTCCAGTAGATGGAGACAGTTACATCACAAAGGTGTGAAAACTTTCACTGTGGAACTATTTTGCAATAATTGAGTCTATATAAAGACAGTTAGCGTTTAACGTAGTGCTTTAGAAGAGAGTGACATGACTCTCAAAGAATCCTAAAGTGAACTTTATGGGAGAACTCTGCAACAGCAAAGATAATAATAAGAGCATTTTATTTGTGCATGCTTTTTAAGGCACTCAGGGACACCTTACAAGCAATTATATACCAAAATCACAGTACAGATAAAATAACAGTTGGCAAGCGCCATAGAAATAAAATGTTGACATAGGAAAACCTCAACAGATTTTTTACAACTTGCTGGTGATAGAAGTATAACAAGGAACTCCTTAAAATTAAAATTTACGAGATTTGAAATTAAATTTTGCTAGTGGTTCTCTACATGTTCATGTTCATATTCCGTGACCACTGAAAATAAAGGCAATAGTTAAAATGACAGCTCAAAGGTGTAGAGTGGCCAAAGAAGATTTTGGGAGTGCATTCTTTCTTTGTTACGCCCACGATCCACACAAATAATTAACAAGGGCCACCAATTTGCCCAAGAGCTGCACTTGAAGAGCCATGGGCTTAGGATGAGATTTAACCCATAAATGTTTGATATTGGGACAAAGTCCACTTTATTTGGCTCTCATGGTGAATCTGGTTATTTAACAAGCTCGCAAAAGCTGAAACACCCTTTTTAATTCAATTCAATTCAATTCTTACAGCAGTGTTATCAAATGAAGAATATACTAAACAGTCTATAACCTGCATACAATCACAGTGTGTTTATGTTCGCTTTCTCTACTTACCCACATTCGTCTCTTAGGCAGTATTTTCTGTCAATCACCAGCTGGCTTTCTTTGATCTTGATAGAATGGATAGTGGTGTTCGTCCCTGATAGAAACAGAAAAACAGATGTATAATTTATTTATTTTTTTAAAGAAAAAGAACAAAGAAAATAATAGGAGCATTACTGGTGTCACCCAGACTGGAGTTCTCATGCAAGTAAATGATGATAAATGAAAAATTATGAAGTTTATGACCAGAAACAGCATTCAAAAATCCAAGTCCAGGAATTCAAGGTTCAAGTTTAACATGTAATAAACGTCCTTTATTTTAGTGGACTAGAAACATTAGGCAATGCATCATCTTCCCTGTGACCCAGTATATTCTGCTGCTACATGCACTTATGAAACCTCATGCCAATCAGGTTCAGATCAGGCAGGGCACACACTCCTCCAAGTCTCACTGTTATTGCCCAAAAGACTGTTCCCCAACCCAAAAGCACAAGGAATGTCGTGGACATCAAGAAAGGAGAGGAGAGAGAGGAGGATGCATGTGGGCAAATAATGTAAAAAATGGCTCCTAGGAACATTTGGCGTTGTTCTTACTCTAGTTCTTGCATTAAGTTACATATTGCAGCAATAGATGGCAGAAGAGCAACCACCGCCCAAACACTGTGGACCCACGAATTGGTTTTATATTGGTTTTCTGGGTATATTTTTTGGCTTTTTCTCTGCTCGTTTTTGCTGTGTAAGATTATAACTTTCAAGGATTTGGCTCCCTTCCTATTCTAGTACATCTACATGGAAGAGAGATAAACGCATTGTGGCCAGCCTCTCTCCTCTCAAGATTAGCATAAAAAAGCCTGCTAAATCTTAATCCAGTTATTTACCAAATGCATGGATTAGAGACGAGCTGCTGATAACATTGGGCCTGAAGGAGGAGGGCTTGACGGCTAGGCCATGCGAGCAAGCAGGCCTTCAGAGAGAACAGGATCGGCATCAGCGGGACTGAAAAGCAGCTAGAGATGGGAGGGTCTCCTCCCTCACTCCATTCAAGCTCTGTTTGCCTTCTAAGTAATACCGATAGGATCAGAAACCCAGACTATTTAAACAAACGTCCCTATAGCCAGTTTTGGCAACTGAAGATTGATCCACCAAGCCATCTGCTTACAATCAGTCCACAAAGTATTAAAGGAGGATTAAGCCATTTGGTGCATTCATGCTGAACCCAGAGGAGTTGCATGCATTAAGACCCGGTGTGCTCTGAAACCGAGCCCTCGCCCACTGCCAGGCCCAGGCCTAGGCTGGGGTACTAGTATCCCTGGTCGAGGTGAGGCTTCATGAATCCTTGTTGAAGGATCTTTTGAATAACACTTTGTTTTTCCCTTCTAAGTTAAAATCAGTCAAAGATCTCTCAATAACTTTAATATATGAATTGAAACTATATAAAATTTTACTCACAGTCTCCAGCACTTTTCAGCTGTCCATAAAAATCTTCAATGTTTTTTTCTGAGGAGCAGAAATATCAAATGGTGAACCAAAAATCAGCTATGATGAAATTATTTTTTAACGTAAGCAAGAACTAGAGAGTGAAATAACTTTACCTTTCATAACAGGTATTTCTGTTGATTTGGAGATGTTGATGTTTGAGTTAGTGGTGCCCTCTGTTGATGAAGGGCAGCAGTACACCTTATCACAGTATAGCAGATCACAGAAGTCCACAGCAGGGGGCCAGAGGCCAGGAGTACCAGTTGGCAGGACTGGAAGAGATTTATCGTATTATTACTTTGTTTTCTCTGTTGCCACTGCTATTGGAATTCAGAAGCACTGAAAAAGCTCTGAAATAATTTAATCTGAGTATTTAGGTGAGTGTATTTAGGTCTCTATCTGATCTCTAAATGCTTATAATACTATTTACACTATTATTTGTCTTTGTCTTTTTGGCTTTAGACTCAGTGTTAAAAGGCATCACATTACCTGTGCTGGTCCATGATGAGGTTTGCAGAGGAGTCTCAGTGGTATTACTAACACACAAAAACATAAAACTTGTTGGTTAACATAACAATAATAATGCAGACAAGCTGACAAGAACTACATTTCAGAACTTTTTAGCTCCCTTCATTTTCATTTGTCATTTCAAGGGGTAAATAATGCTGGAGCTTGCCAAACAAACAAACTTTGACACTTAAAAATAGTCCAAGTTCTATCAGCGCCAAAAAAATGATCAGTGTGGCTGTCTTCCCAGGTGCTATAATAAAGTCTGGATATTTAGGAATTTTTTTTGCTTTACAAAGTGAAGTAGAGTTATCGGGAAGCTAGCAAACTAATAGAAATTTGAAGATGATATATTACGTTCTGACCAAAATATGTATAAAATAACTAAACTGTACAGCATTTCTGTGATGATGGACATGAATGAAGGCAAAAAACAAAATACCAGTTATGTTTGGAGGGTTAGTTAAGGGCCATTTGACATATGAGGCTACCTGGTGGCTAGTTAGGGAACAATGGCAAGGCTAACGTAAGAGAAGAGGGTAGACTTCCTCTCAATAAATGTCCATATTGAAACAAATGTCATCATATAGCCTATATGCGTCAAAAACAATCAGAACAGCCAAGAGAATCTCAGGCGAATCTCTGAGATGACCA